TGTTCCTCTCGCATTCGGATGATACGCTGCTGTAAGGAATAGTGCCCAGACCAGATTTTGTTCACTAATGCATTTCCTAGACCGTAAACAAATCTGCGACGAATATGGGGAAGCTGTCCCTCGAGGAAGTGGAACAGCTGATGGTCAATGTAGCAAGCCATTGTGCGCCCATCACTGTGTCATAAGAGTGTCAGGACACAAAACTAAAATAAAATAAATAGAAATATAAAAGCGGAGTTAGTTGTAGAAAATGAAGGCGGTAGAACTCACAAACACGACTTTGGATATGAGTTCCTCTGCTCCGCTTGTTGTGAATTTCACTTCTGTGGCAACGTGTAAGCACTTGAAGCTAAGAAAAGGCGATATTTATTTACAAAACTCGCAAATTACATTTCGACAGTGCATAACAATACCTCCATCATAGAGAGTTAAATGAAGAGCTCAAGCTTAAAAGCACAGATATGAGGAAGCTTCGAGAAAAACACAAAAAACAACTTTGACATCTATCTGATGTCCTCCATATTTAAAATAGTCACATAAAGCATACTAAGCACTAGATCACCCTTTCCTCTCTTTCAATGAAACTTCCTTTTGCCATATTGCACGACTTGACGAGAGCACAAAAGTTTAGCGAAGCAACATGCACAATTGCTGCAAAAATGACAATCATAACTGACCCAGCTTCTGCTTAAAAACTCGAAAGTAGCGCATATTGTGGACAAGTAGTTACGGCGCGAAAATTGCGACTAGGGCGCAATTAGCCTAACCCATGTTCCTGAAGCTGCGTTACACAAAAAATTTCAAATGTTGTTTGAAATTAATGTTTGAAATGATAAACAATTACACAAATGTATAATTAAACAGTACTTTGTCCAACTAGCAGAAGAACAATGTGCGATGATATCTTAACGATATGGTTTTTATGATAGTCCTCAAAGTGAGAAACTTGAAGGATCAAAAAATGCTATAGTTTAATCAGAACTACTGTAAGCTTAATATGCTTTAATCATGAAGTCAAACATCTAGATCTCTTGATGGACAGAGGATTAGCGTTTCAATACTTACCCCTCCCAATGTTTAAGCAAGTCATGATTTTTTTTTGAAGTTATATAATGTTCATTTTACCTATAGCTCTATAGAACATCTACAATTCAGCTGCTCATCATTCTCCTGCCACTATTAACTTTGTGTGGACTGCAGTCTAATGGAAATCTCAATGCGCAAACTTTCTCGGTCCCGCCTTTTTTATTGAAATCCTATAAATTGAGATTTTGCTGGTCTACGAATCAACTCATGTTTTCG